AATGGTCTATAAACAGAAACCTATAATTAATACTGGATTTTACTCTAGGTATTAATGGGCTATAAGCTAAAATCTTTAATTAATACTGGGTTTTACACTGAGTATTAATGGGTTATAAGTAGAAATCTATAATTAATACTGGATTTTACTCTAGGTATTAATGGGCTATAAGTAGAAACCTATAATTAATACTGGATTTTACACTGAGTATTAATAGTCTATAAGTAGAAACCTATAATTAATCCTGGATTTTACACTGGGTATTAATGAGTCATTAGTAGAGACCTATAATTATTATCGTTTTTTTTTTAGAAACCTATTATAGGAACAGCCCAAAATGCAACTTACAAATGGGAGATGCAAAAACCAGACAAGTACAAAAGTTTAAATGTATGGGAAGTGTTTTAACAGAGGCTGCAATTTGCAACACTGAATTCCGAAGTTGAATTGGGATCGCGAAAGATGCCTTCCAAAAACTAAGTATCAAGAGACGGAAAATTTTCGTTATAGACAAAGGAAAGAGTCCTGAATTTTATGTAATATCAGTCCTACTATATGGCAGTGAATGCTGGACAATCTCCTCACAAATGAAGAATAAACTTGAGGCAACAAAAGGATGCTGAGAATACAATGAACCGAACATGTGAGCATCGACGAAGTTTTAGAAAAATGGAAACAAAATGAACACTTATACTTAACATTAGAAAGAGACAGTTGAAATTTGTAGGGCACATAATGAAGAAACAGGGTTGGGAAAATCTGATACTCACAGGACAGATTGAAGGCAAGAACGACAAAGGAAAACAATGCATAACCTACCTAGAGAATGGATGGTGGGCCTAGGCTTAGAAGATTTTTTTTAAGCGTTTCACCCCAAGCAAGGCGGGAAGCCACTAGGATGCAAGGGGGTTACAGAAAATTTGGAGCAAGATCAGATAGGAGTGATAGAAGAAAGGATGAGGAGAAGGGTAGTGGATGGATCAAGGCAACTGGAGATGTCGATTGACATTACATTTGAATAGCTGGAGATTATAGCTCTCAGGGAAACTGGAATAGGGAAGGGAGTTCCACAGGCGGGAGGTGCGAGACATGAAGCTATTGGAGTAGAAGAGACGGCTACATTTAGGAGTTTCGACAGTGAAAAGGTGAGAGCGGGATGCCAGCCTCGTAGGGCGCTTGAACTCATGAAGTCTGGGAACCAGCGAATGCAGCTCCTCGGAGCAATTGCCATGAAAGTATTTGTAAAACAGACAGAGAGAGGCGACGGCGCGTCTGTAAGAAAGTGACTGTAAACGAGATGCCACAGTAGGGCCAATTATATTGCATATCCGCCTCTGGAGCCTATCAAGAACCCCAAGGCAAACAGAAGGGGCTCCAGACCATATATGGCAGCAATACTCCATGCAAGGGCGAATTGTTGATTTGTAGATCTGGAGGATCGATTCCGGGGAGAAAATAACAAAAAGACAAAATTTATTAAGTTCTACAAAAGACAAAATAATTCGGGAGAGCCATAATCTCCAACATCATGAAAGGACACGCCACATAGAATATTTTTACTTTATTAATAATACAAAATTTTACCATGGGTATAATGGTCTAATTCCCTCTGTAAATATGCATTTGCCTTTTATTTTCAAGTTTACAAAGATTTCTTTGCGTTGTCTTTTCTGTTTAGGTTTAACGCCATTCAAAACGTTATTGTTTTGTTTTATTTTATCTTCATCTTTTCATGTTTTCATTTTACGAACATCATTTTCAAGCCTAGGGCAGTTTTTAAAATACGGATTATTTTTTACACTTCAACTAACATAAAGCGTTCACTATAGGGGAAAGCCGTAGGACCTTTGTCTTGCCAAGGCCGATTTTTTAGCACCCCAGGGATATAAAAAAAATAATAATACCAAATATTTAAAAAACTGTTTCCTATTTTTTTCTATTATTTCAGTAAAAAGCCTATTCAAAACAACAAAAAATGGTCGAATTTTTTTATGGGCAGATGAATTTAACTTTGAACAACAGAATTTTTATTTTACTGTTTTCTTTATTTATTTATATTTTTTACTAATAGTTACCAAAAGAAAACTGACTCTTAGACAAAGTGATAAAGAAAAGAGAGAATAAAAGAATAACCAGTAGGAAAAGATGATGAATGGATGTCAGCAAAAGAGACAGCTCTTAATTGCGAGTTGCCTATTGGGTATGTCAAAGTATAGCCGGTGTAGAAATGTAAAACTCAGAATAGTAGTTTGTAGTAACAAACGACGGGATGTGTGATACAGGAATACAAAAATACACAAGAATAGTAAAAGTGGCCTTCTCAAAATTAAACAAAGTATTAAGAAATAAGAAAAGAGTTCGGAAATAAAATGTAATATCATTCCTCCTGTATGACAGTGAGTGCTAGGCAGTTTCGTCGTGGATGAAAACGAGGCTTTCAGAAACTAAGCAAAGTAATAAGAAATAAGAAAAGAGTTCAGAAATTAAATGTAATATCATTCCTTCTGTATGACAGTGAGTTCTGAACACTTTCCTTCTGCATGAAAACGAGGTTTCCAGAAACTATTAAGACATGGGGTAACTTTTCTTGAGAAAAAAAGAAAATATTTCTGAAATGCTTTGGAATATCAATCAATATATATAGCAGTGAGTGCTGGACAGTTTCCTCGTGGGTGAAAATAAGACGTGAAGCAACTGAGACGTGGTTCTACAGAAGGATGCTAAGAATACCATGGACCAAATATATGAGGAACAAGGTTTTAAGGAAAATAGGAACAAAATGGATACTTATGTTGAAATGACTGGGACAGATAATAAGGAAGGACGGATTGACCTTTAACATTCAGGGGTCAAAACAAGAGAGACAACAATAAAACAGCGGATAAGCTACCTAAAGAGTGGGGACGTGGAGAAATATTAAGAGGAAAATACTGCTTAGAGCCGTAAAAGATAGGAAGCTGTGGAGAGTAATGATTGTCAAGGTTCTGAAGGAGCAGATAAAACAGCGAATAACTACCTGCCTACCTATCTACTTTGTTTTGCCATCCATTCACACAAACTCGTTAAGCAGGTGATCATGGCTCGCCACAACTTTCTTTCTTTTCTTATTTTTCTACCCAGATACCTGAATTTCTGTACCTACTCGATTTTAACGACCCCATTATGTAGCACCCATCTTGGGCTGTCTCTTTTGCTGACAACCTTGAAAGCCCTGTTTGAATTTTTGAGATGAGGAGTTATCATTATTCGCATTATTTACACGTAGATTATTGTCCTCATTTTTGTTGTTGTTATAACGTTTCGGACGATGTACCCAACGGCTTCATCAGGTTCTTGTCGAACCAAGTAACCTTCAGGGAAATTCGAACTAAACCTTTTATTTAATCTTCGGAAATAGATTAAATAAACGGTTCAGTTCGAAATTCCCTTAAGATCGCACGGATCGGCAAGCACCTGAAGAAGGTCGGAGAGCACGACGGACGAAATGTTGTGATAATAACAAAGATGAGGACAATAGTCCTGGTGTTAATAATGTAAATAACCATGCATTCTATATTCTTGTTGATATGTTTTATCTGTGTCCTATTGAAGAGCGGCTGTATACAAGAGAAATCTATTTGACCAAATAACCTTATTTACTAACATATATAGCGGTACTCTTAAATTTGTTGTGATTACCTGACTATTACACCGGGTTGTCACGTTGTATGTAATATAAGTTTAATATAAGTTTTTACCAATTGAGGATGCAGTAGAGCAGTAGTCCCCAAATGGTACGGCGCGTCCGATAGGTGCAGCGAAAGAGGATAGCAGGTGAGGCTGAATGATTGAAAAACAATCATAGATTTAGAAACAGTTTCAAAAAATTCATATGCCAAAAATAAATATGATTTCAAAATTTAAAATATTATTATGGATGACTTGTAATTCCGTGCATGAATCCCAGTATAAATAGGGACAAGAAATATTTGAAAGATTTTATTATTGTGACACTTTTGCATTATATCAAGTATTAAGAATATAGTAACTAAGGTCTGCAAATTGGAGGAGTGAGTTATCAGTGATAATGTTCTGACTTCAAATCTGCGGTTATCTCCCTTTAAACCTCTTTCTGATTATTCTTTGCTGTAGGGTCGCTTGCGCCTTTTAACCAGGACTTCCTTTTGGTGGGGCGCGACAAATATTCATTCCGAAAATGCGGCCCAGAGAAAAAAGTTTTGTAACCACCTGCGTAGAGATACGGGAGATGAATAATTAGTGTTTCATGCGTGTATTATTGTAATGTTATTAAGTAATTTCTGATGGCCCCACAAACGAATAATTCGGCATGTTAATGAAATATCATTATACTGGAAGATCTGTCTTGTATGGAGATGACAAATCAGTTTCATGCAAAATAATTACGTTTGTTTTCATTTGGCTTGTTTTGTTTTATGGCATATCAACACCTAAATGGGTTATTTAATGCAGACAAGATTTTTATTTCTAGTAATAATTCTTTTTTTTCTTCAAAAATGTATTGGTAGTCTTTCTTCTTTTTTTTAAATCAATTGCTGGTTAATTTTTTTTCCTTCAAAAATGTATTGCTGTTTTACAAAAAAAAAAAGTATTGCTGGTATTAAAACCTATTTTTACACTTTCATAGTGTTTTGACCCATTAGGGAGTGTAACTATTTGCCCGTAGTTGGGACCGTAAACAAGTGCTACCGCCACGGGCAAGGTGAACCTGGGAACACCAGCAATTAAGAGGTGGTTCCACGCTCCTCAAAGCCTCCTGATCAGAGCCCTTGCTGTCGGGCGTAGTTCATCGTCTTACCCAGGACGAAAATTTGTTTTGTTTTGTTTTTTTTTTACCCAATTTAGGTATTTCCTATTACGATAAAATTTGTTGTTGTTATGAAATAAAAATCCCTCCCCCCTCTCTCTCTCTCTATCTCTCTCTCGCTTCTCTCTCTCTTTGTCATTCATTGTAACTACCTTTCTTTCTTTTTCTCTACGCTTACAGCCATATCACATTGAAACACCAGTTCCAGTACGATCACCGAAGTTAAGCAACGTCGAACCTGGTCAGTACCAAAATGGTTGACCACTTGCAAATACCAGGTGCTTTAACCTTGGATGTTCGAATGGTGTAATGCATAACGGCTCAGAATTGGAAATCGTAGAGCCGAGTTCCAATTCCAGTCGGGTACGTTATATTTACTTACACGCAAGTACCCTTGGGAAAGGCATGAAACCACCTCTTCTCCACCCAGCTATGGATTGATTAATAGAACTTGTATCAGTAAATCATTATTATCGCCAAAAACTACTTACAACATAAAAATATTTTCCGGCTTTAAATAACCTGCACAAGGTTGATAAGTCGTAAAAAACAAATCTTTCTTTCTTTCTTTCTCTCTCTGTCATACAGATCCTCTGCCTTTCCTTCTTTTTGTCTCTTTCTTTCTCACTCTTTGGTGACTTTCTATGCCTCTCTCTTTGTCGTTTACTCTCACAAACATTCCTTCTTCCTTTCTTACTTTTTTTCTTTTCCTCTCTCTCTCTCTCTCTCTCTCTCTCTCTCTCTCTCTCTCTCTTCTTTCCCTTCTTCCTCTCTTTCTTTCCTCTTTCTCTCCTTCTCTCTTTGCCGTTCACTCTTACTGCCTTCCTTTCCTTCCGTCTTGCCCACTCCTCTGTAGTGGTCTCAATATAAATCGTTATTCTCAACAGCCCCAAAGTTATTTTGTGTAAGTGACTCAACTAAAGCGAGGCTGCTGTGTCCGTGTACGCGCATGCGTACACATGTCTGCCGTGCCTCGCGGCATCGTATGCCCTGAGGTCAACAAACGATGTCTCCGATACCACGTATCTTACAATGAGAAAACCAAAGAACTTTATCGTTAAGGGCAGAGGTTAAAGAATGAACCCAATCGAAGGAAGCTGCAATTGTATAGGTTGTGAGGGGGGGCGTTCATTGAGACCGACAGTAAAATAGAAACGTAGGGCGGGGGGTATTAATAGAATTTCAAGAGTTTTTTTTTTTTAGTAACGGTCGTAGGATGTTGGCGCAGAGAGATATAGAGTACGTCTAGTACACAAGAGCCAGCAAACTAGACTAACAGACCATTATCTGGTAGTTTTAATTCGATCTTAATGGTTGTTTACGGGTCAATAAACCAGACCGTATGGTCTTCATCGATTTCACAAAGCCTTTCATTTTACTCAATACTCATCAAATAAAATTGCTTAAATTGCGTATATGATGGTTCTTAGGCTGCTATTAATATTGATCTTGGTATTAGCCGTTTCGTTTTGATCAAAAAATTTGTTTAACAAGGTCATCTGCTATCAGCCATTCTCTAAAGTATTGCATTGTCACAACTGTACCAGTTAAAACAGAAAAGTGAAGCGATAGCATTTTCTCTATTGGGTTTAAAATAATATCAAATCTATCATATGAAGATGATATAGCCTTGTAAAGCAGTGTTCAAAAACATTGTGAAAGTAATATGATTTTAATCATTTCATCCTATGCAAGGCAATAAAGCCACTAACTTTCAAGGGGTTACTGGGTGTTAGAGAAGATGAGAAAATAAGACGAAATAAAGAGAACAATAAAATAACAAGAACTAAAAAGACAGACGATAACGACTGATATCGCATTTCAATTTTTGAAGATCAAAGTTGACTGGAAAGCAAGAAGCCGGAAGAGAGTCCCACAAGCGAGAAGTGCTACAGGAGAAACTTTTAGCATAGAAGTTACGGTTATATTTCAACTGCAAAATAATGAAACCTAGTCGATAATCTATAGGATTAAATTCATAAAGTCTAGGTACCATAGAGAAAAGTGATATTTATTTGTGAAAATTACAAAATGTGGCACAAGGGCAAAATGAGGAATGAGAAAAAGGACGTTCTTCTGTCTTAAATTTAAACTTAGCTAGCCACAAACGCTGACTAAAACATACCACAATATTCCTTACACCAAAACAACGCATTCTTACTTACCATTCTTACTACATCCGCCATAATACATCAAAGGCTCTATAAAAGTCCTAACTAGTCCCCGTATGTACAATTAATTGTCTGTTGGGGGAGGGGAATAAAACATAGCGGAATGTTCACCAGAACAAATACCATGTAAGTATTTATAGAAAAGACACAAGGAAGCTACATTATGGCGGGAAAATGACTGGACGCGATAACAGGTCAGGACAAATAACATTGCAGACTCTTTGGATTTTATGAAGAATATCTAAATTTATAGCAGGAGTCCATACCAGATGTGGCATCAGTATTCGAAACAAATAAGAATGGTAGACTTATAGATATGTAAAATAGATAGTGGGAGAGAAATTGTCTAACACACTGCAGTGAATCAAATTTCCTAGCAGCAAACTTAGCAATTGTTTCAATATAATCTTTCCACTTCAGGTTAGCGGGAAATGTTAGCCTGAGAAGACGCAATGAGTCACTTTCCTGGAGATCAGCATCAGTCATGTTGATGGAAGGCAGAATGAATTCTCTCAAATGATTGATAGAGAACAGTTTCATTTGGGGAGCGTTAAAATTAACAAGACATTTCTTGTCCCAGATAACATTAGATTGTATGTCATTTTTGAGATCAGTCGCCAATTTGACCTCATCGATTTCATAAGTCTTGCTATTATAAATCAAATCTTCAGTTGTTATTTTTGTAGAAAGGATCGCAAGTTTTTTGTTTTTTTTGTTTTTTTTTTCCCTCCGAAGATTTCCATTCATTAAACTTGACCATCTGAAATAGAACTCCCCGAACAGTTCGATTAGAAACTGCCGAATATTTCAGAGGGGGTCAAACTTACGAGGAGGTCGAAACCAAGAATTGTCTAATCTCGAAACTAAAAATGCCAACTTGAACTAAATAGTAAATCTAGAACCTTTTCTTTCTTTTTATGTGCCGTGTCCTTTCAGGACGTAGGCGATCATGGCTCTCCACTTCATCCTATCCCCTGTAGCTCTCAAAAAGTTTCATGCCTCTGCTAACTCCCCCAGAGCACGTTCTGCCATCCACTTGTTTAAGACCGCCAGGTATATCATGTGTTGCTTTCCCTTGTCTCTTTTCTCTCTATTCCACTTGTGAGTATCAGATTCTCCAGGCCCTCTTTTCTCATTACGTGTCCCAGAAATTTCATCTGTCTCTTCCTTATGTTAAGTGTAAGCTTCCTTCTTGTTTGCATCCTCTCCAAGAACTCATCTTTGGTTACACTCTCGCTCCATGATCTCCTTAGCATCATTCTGTAGAACCATATCTCTGTTGCCTCGAGTCTCTTCTTCATCTTTGAAGAGGCTGTCCAACATTCGCTACCTATAGAAGGACAGATATCACGTAAACTTTCTAAATGTCAAGTGTTCACAGATGTAATCAGGTTTGCATATTGTTAAAGGTTTATTATTATTGCACTCACTAGGTTCTCATACCAATAGGGTTACAGCCAGATCACGTTGAAACACTAGTTCCCATACGATCACCGAAGTTAAGCAACGTTGATCCTGATCATTACCTAGATGGGTAACCGCTTGCGAATATAAAATGTTCTAAGCTTGGATGTACGGGTGGTATAGCTTACGGCGATATTACGTTGCAACACAGATTCTCGTCCGAAGTTAAGCAATTTCAAACCTGGTAGACTGTCCTTAAGGACACATGGCACAGTGGATAAAGGCGTTAGTTAGATCTAGCGACAGAGCCCAAAACGTTGTGAGTTCAATACCTGGTTAAGGCAGAGGTGAATAAACAGGAGATAACTTATAACTGACATCCATTAGAAATGGCACGTGGAACTAGAAAAGTCTACCCCAGCGAGCGAAATAAAGAGTTCAGTTCGACATTCCAACCACCTGAAGAAGGCCGGAGCGTACAACGGCCGAAACGTTGTGATAAACATATCGACAAAGATGAGGACAATATTCCGAATAATGTAAAGAGTGTACATAATACCTCATTTCAGAAATATAGACAGATACTGATATTCTGAAAATTATTTTTTTTTTGAATTTTAAAGGAAAGTTCTTTACATTTGTTTTGTGACTCGTATAGGAGCCGTTAATGAAAAAGTACAGCACAAGACTTCAATGTTAAATAAACAGTATTTAATTACAAACTGCAAATAAATACGTAACACAAACAAATGAAGTAAGAATGAATCAAGCTTGTAAACAAATTCAGTGCATACTTTCGTAATAGTGCGGCTCACTAAACGTCCAAATAGTCACTCAATAATCCACTAGTAATCAACTAATAATCCATTAGTAATCCACTAGTAATCCACGAGTAGTCAACACTCGTACTCAAGTAATCATCGACTGCAGTCCGTGTTGACCATGTTCACTATAGTCTATGAATATAAAATACAGCGCAGTACGTAATCTGTTCAGTGAAACAACGTTAAAGATTAACACTCACGAGTCAGACACTCTATTGAATCTGACTATATCGCCAATACCACCAGCAGCTGTTCCGTAATTCTTCAGTCTTCGATATCAAAGGCTAGCAGTGAGTATTCGGAAAAAACATGGCTGCCTTTATACACGTCGCATTGAATATTTTGAGCCTTCTGATTGGTTAACCCTTCTATTGGTGAACTATAAAATGAGTCAGCTCATTTTGGCTGGCTCACTAGTACACCAAGGTACCCAAAAACTCCAACAGTCCGACCAATAGTCAAATTGTAGTCCGAGATTTACTTGACCCTCCCACACTGAGTCAGGTTGTGACACAAGGTCGGTTTTTAATGTGGAGACCCGAATGTTTCCACTCGTCCCGCTGGTCTAAGATGGCCTTAGCTTGTCTAAGCTGGTCAAAGCTGTCTACGCTGGTCTTAGCCGGTCATACCACCGCTACGTAACAGATGTCACGCAACGGTGGAGGGGAACGCAAGGGAGGGGAGAAGGCCTCAGGCACAGAACAGATACTACATCTGCAGTATCCATTCCGACGAGAAAAACTACTCCTCTACCAATCCCTCCAAAAGAATCCGGGGTGGGGGGTGAGCTACCAATCAACCCGTAGTCCACTGTCGTCAGTAGCCTGATACCGCTATTTATAAATCTGGAGGAAAACATATTCATAAGACCAGAGTGTTACGCTCGAACCTCGGTGTCGGCAGTTACAATTTTTTTCCTAGATGACAATTTGTTTTCAGTTGCTTTTTATCACAACTGACTTTACTCACAAATAAATAACATTCCTAATTTCCCGCTGTTCGCTCTGGCGGCCAAAGACATAGTCGCCCTTGACCCTTCTGATAAAATAACAAGATGAAGAAAAACGTTTTAATGCTATCAACATCAACCAGAGACTTCCCAGGATAACATTGTCAGAAAATGCTCTGGGACTTCGACACCCAGACCAACTACCCACATCGAAACAAAAGGTCTGAACCTCAGAATCAGAAAGGAAGAAAAATAAAACCTTTCAGATGACGAATGTGGGTGTCCCGGCAAGCTAGGAAGTGAACGTGAAAAAGAATTAGAAATTAAAGAAATACAAAGACCTCATCCATGAACAGAGTAAGATATGGAATATGAAGATTATAATCGTGCTTATAATAGTAGATGTGCTTGCAACTGTGCCAAAGACAATAAGATTGATATTGGACGACTTGGAATTCCAAGAAATGCCCGACACTGTGCCGGACACAACGTTGTTGCGGCATGTGAAGATACTGAGGAAGATGCTGGGCATTTAAGTAAATTTAATGTCACTCAATCTTCAACCATGACCACCAGACATCAGCTATTTACACTCAGATGCATTCCAGTAGACTAATTGAAGGGATTCCTGGAAGTCCATGCCTCAAGGAGATACAGAAAATTGTTCTGACAAGTACAGCCCACACCTTACGAAGGGCTTTATCTATGTAATCTTTTTCTTTTTTTTTTTTCTTTTTTTTTGTGGAAAGTGTCATGACGCCATTTCTAACCTTAGGTCCCTGGGCGGGACCCGGAAAGAAATGTGTAAACGCCAGAAATCAAAGAAAATAATAATAATAATAATAATAGTAATATCAATAAGGTTTTAAAGCATAATCTTTCTTCCCGATATTTGCTGAACCTACAGAAGGGATATGGAGATTATGTTGCAGCAATCTTCTCAGAGATTAGGGTCTGTTTGCTTATAAAATTAGCATTTGAAATTCTTGTATTTAACCGGATTCGAAAATTGCACGAATGAAAAATGGACAATTATCTTACTATGAAGTATTATGCTAATATAGACACCACATGGGGTAATAATTAACAAGAGTGCCTAGACAATTAGTCAGGTATATATAATGAGAGGGTTAGATCTGTGTCTATTATAAAGTGACAAAATCTGTGGAATTGAGATTGGATGGATTGGAAATCCGAGGAAGACCACTGGTTGCTGGGGTCTGTGAAGATGCTGAGGAAAGTGCTGGAGATTTAATGAGAGTTAATGTCACCCAATTCTACGCAATACTCACCAGACGCCTGGTGTCTATATTCAAATACATTATTATTATTATTAGTAGTAGTAGTAGTAGTAGTAGTAGTAGTAACAGAACACAATGTAAAAAAGGAAGTTAAGGATTCATGGCACAATTAATTATCAATTAATCAAAATTGGAAGAGGTGAAAACTAGCAAAAAATGAATATACCCACAAACATAACAAGGTAGCAACATATGTACGATGGAAGATATGTAAGAAGCCCAAAATCGAAACCACCGAGAGATGGTATGAGCACCAACCAGACACAGTTACCCAAAATAACGATGTAACTATCCTCTGGGGCGTACCAATTCAAAATAGCATTTAAAAGATATTAAAGAAATTGCCCCGTGTGGAACATCTACTGCTCGTCTAATCAGCAGAATATTATTAATGTAAAGAAAATAAAAAGACTGTATGTGTTATGAATTATTTCACTTATATTTTCTACTTCACCCAAAGTCTCACGTAATGACACAGTTAGGGATTGTACTAAGCCGAAAGCAATTATCATCATCATTATTATTATTATTATTATTAATAATATTAATCTTCTGGGATATGCCAATTCAAACTGACAAGGAAATAAAATCCAACAGACGTGATATTAACATAAAAAAGACAAGAAATTCAGGAAGTGTATGCCTATTGACATAGCAGTACCATCATAGAGAAAACACCTCCATAAAAATTATTGAGAAATTGTCCAAAGGAGCTGGAGATTAAGATTAACAGGATGTGGGGACTGAAGACGGAGACTACCAATAGTAATCGGAGCTCTGGGCCTCGTGAGAAAAGGAATGGACAATTTTACTAACAGTGTCCCAGGTAACATCAGCATACAAGTTGCCCAGAAGACAGCCCAACTAGGAACATCGCATATACTAAGAAAAGTGCTATCAATTAAATGACAATTCTCCTATAGGGCCTAAGGACCATAGTCTGGACCCGACTCTACAGGATACAAAGCAGGAAACCTAACTTACACAAATAATAATAATAATAATAATAATGAGGAGGAGGGGGAGGAAGGGGAGGAAATTGAAAACAAGAATACTACCAATCGCAGTAGGTGCGCTTGGAATGATAAAAAAAGGAACACAACGCCACATTGAAAAAAAATCCCTGGAAATCCCATCTTAAGAAAAATACAAAAAAATTGTCTTGATAAGTACAACCCACACACTAAGAAGAACTTTGTCCATGTAACTCCAGTGATGCTATAGGAGTTAGAAAAACATATCATGAAATGTAGCCATAACAACACACCATTAGCTGCCTTAGGTCTTCGTGCAGACTTGGTAGGTTGTGTGACCATAGCAGAAATCGTAGTATAATAATAATAATAATAAGAAGAAGAAGAAGAAGAAGAATGTGCTTCATTTAAATCCTTTAAAATATTTAAAGTAATAATAAATTTTGGCATAAAATTATTGTGTTTTAATGACGCGCCCCGAGAATTTCGTATCTACGCAAACATCTATTTAAAAGCGAGAAATTTATGGCTCACCTGACACACATCTTTGACAACATTACTTAGGCAACGCCTTCTGGCGTCAAGTTCATTTATTTCTCTCTCCGTAGAATTAATTTAGGTTAGAACGAATTCTAATTGCAACTCATATTTGACATCTGTCCTCATCCTAATTAGTGCAGTGTATATGGTTTGTTGTTTATTAGATTTACTCTTAACTACTTACAGTTTTGTTCGATTTTTTGTTTGTTTTGTTTTTTTTTTATTCATTTATATTTAACGGTTATCAGCAGAGAAGGTGAAATCAGCAAGTCGGGTTCAAGCCCCGACCGTTCACTTTCACACTTACTCCTTTCGGAAACACATGAATGAATTTTTTCAACCCGCCACTAATGAATTATATAGCAGGGTAAACCAATCTCTCTAACTTTGGTAGGCTGCTACTTCGGGAGAAGGATTTCTCCCAATCCCAATCGCGTAGAAAAGACAACAGAAAGCCAATCCGCCATATTTTCTATAACAATTTACAAGTCCTGGGTATAACGATAAACTAGATCCAGCAGCAAGACCTCTGATCGAGGAATTTTGAAGAAATAAATTT